AGACAATTTGCCACCAGAAGCCTCCTACAGAACCCTTCCTTGACCTGGTGCCCTTCAGATGTTTGTACTTCAGCTCCCTTTAGGTTCTAGCCAACATGGGAATGGTCAGGAATGCCAGGCATTCTCATCCAAAACATCTTGAGAGTACCGGGGATGTGGATGGCTGGCCTACAGACTTAAAAGAATTTTCAAATAAACTCTGAACATACAAGCAACAAATGAAGAAACCAGTCCTTTTCAGAAAGCACTGATTATAGCTTAAGCACATCTGCCAAGAGACTAGCTTATTAAAAAGCAAGGCAAGATTTCAGCTCAAGTAAAGAACCAGCACTCCAAATCTGAGTATTGCCATCTTAGCCAGCAGGAAGAGAGAGCCTACAGAGCCTTTTGCACGCCAAACACTAACAGTTCAGGCAATTAATAAATGGCTGTGACAAAAGAAAAAGCTCTTACATATGTAAGCATACCAAATCTCAAAGTGAATGCATAGAAGACTGTATCTACACTGCAGGCAGGGCAGAAGAAAAGAGCATCACAGAGCCCGGTTGTCCAAGGAAGCCATTACTGTTTGCTGCATCACCAGGCCTCCTACTCAAGGTGTGCACTCTGTTTTCCCATTTTGTGCTATGCATGAGTGCTGATTATTTTTACTTTCAAGGGAAGAGCAATCTTGTTCATCTGCATACAGATAACCCACTGCTCAATAATCTCTCTTTGCCACTCAGCAGGGCTTAGAGGTATGTTTGATTAAGTGCACAAGATTCCTGCTTTCTAGCCTAGCCTACACTTCTTTGGGGTTTAATTAATTCTCTCTACCTATGTCATATCTCTTTATTTCCACTAGGGGAAGGGCCACTTTGCTGCTATACAAACCCGATTCTGTAGCACTCAGGATGTACCAAAAAGGCTGTTTCTTCCTGGAAGGTTTGCATCTGGAAAGTTTTGATCTTACAAGAAATAATCTAGGAAGCAGCTAGGTGGGACTATTAGCCAAATTTGTTTGCATACAGGAGTGCCACTCATTTCCACAACTTGTTGGACCTGTTTGCATCCATGTTTTCTTAGGGGAAAAAGGCAATATGAGAAAAATTCTGAAGCCACATTAGACTCCAAGAAATGTAACCTCTGAGAAGAATGAATGTTCTTGACTAATAGCAGCTGGAAAGATGGTTCACCCTAAGTCTTAATATTGGCTTATTCAATATAGATTTATGGTAACCGCAAAATTTATTGTATGTGCCATGATTGCACACAATGTGTACATGCCATGTTTTGTGCTACCTTGACAACTGCTCTACTTTTTCTACTTTCTTCTCCAGCCTGGTACCCTCTAGTTGTGGTAGACTGCAGTGCTCATCATTCCTCACCATTGACCATGCTGGCTGGGGATTCTGGGAACTGCAATACAAAGCAAGTGAAGGGAACCAGGTTGAGAAGGCTGGTCTAACGCATTTCTGCCCTCTAGGACAATTGCTATGCAAAGGCTACTTTTTGTTTAAAACCATCTAAAAATGGGAACCATTGGAATGATCTTGCCTGGGTGATCCATGAGAGAACTTCTTGGTGAATACCAGTTGCCATATCATGGCATGTTGCCCTTAGACCATTTTTTCCAACTAGGTTTTCTATCCTTTGTCCAAGGGGTTCTACCTATTTCCAATAAAATAAAAATGTAAAGAAAATAAAAAAGACTAATGAGAGAGACTATGACATGAAGGACTAATTTGCAGCAGTATTTTCTATGAGTATGAAAAAGAGAGTTTGAACTCTAGTTTAAAGTGACCCTTCTGTCAAATCCTTTAGCAGCAGCCTTAGGATGTCCACAAACTTCAATTTAGACATATAGATGGGTCAGATATCTATATTTAAATGCATTGCTAAATTCTATTCTTAAAGACCCATCTCTAAGATAACTGCTTCAAAATCTTTGAATTCCATCTAATTTTCTTTTACATTGTCTAAAAACGTTTTTATATTTTTCAAATAATCCAAAGGAATTCTGAAGTGAGCAGCTGTACAACAGGGATAAACTATGTGCTGTCTTCCAGGTCCTGTTTTCAATTGAACATTTACAGTCTTGACTTGAAAGAGCCAGAATCCAAGACTGAGTCCAGATCATGCACTTAGTGATCTAGGAAAAGGGGGCGGGGGGGGGGGGGAGAAAGAAGCTAAGCAACCATTGTTACATGCTGTGGAGCCAACTACAGTGCCATCAGTCAGGGTGGATTGATTGAAATCAAAGTAATTTAAATTACCAAGAAAAGGGGACAATGTATATGACTGGTTTCAAATAAGCTTTCAATTTCTAATTCATACACTTCCTGAAGAAGAATGCATACTAATTTGTTGCTATAATTAAAAATATGTTGGCTTGCAATTGCAGCTAAACAGAACCTTTCTACCACTACCACAGCTTAAACCAAATGTATCTAGCCCCTATGCCTTTTGCTCTACAGATTTTATACTAGCTAAGCAACAGATAGGAAACCAATTGTGGAATGAAGGATTTCAGCTGGCCCTCTCTTTATACACATCAGGACACCAAGCAATATTAATGCTTCATTTATAATGCTGGTTTCAGAAGATACATTTGTGCCTAGTGTCATTCTTTTATATAGAAAAACAAACTGCTGCCACAAGTGTGACAGAGAGTCATAGGTTCCACTTTGACAAAACATGAGTACAGATTTTAAGACGTTTGCATGCATCATGAATGAAATTCAGGTTATTTTTCAGCTTTAACAAAAACAAGCTTTTCAGTTAAAAAAGAAGAATGTAATTCATTTTTTTTAAATCTGATTTTGGTTTCATTTATTTAAAATAAGGTGTGGACAATGTCCAAAGTGGCTGCTCATAATCGCCTGACCTTGGAAGATTATGGGCATCCTGCTGAGGGCAGGAGGAATGCAGAGACAAAGATCACCTCCGCATTTTTCCTGCCCCACAAAACACTGAGATGTGCAGTGAGGGCCATCTGACTGTTTTGTACCTGCTCACAAAGACAACAGACGGAGGCCCACTTAGGTGCTTCCGCTCCACCACGCCAACAGCAAGGGTGGAGAGAGGGCACTCCAGGTTGGAACTCCAGCCCTGCTCTTGGAAAGTGGCCACCAAGATAGTGTCTAGCAGTCATAGGAGTACACCCTTGTACACTTCTGCACTAGTATGACAGAGAACACAACCATTACACCGAGAATAGCTTTTCCTAGCCACTCCATTTCTTCCCTAATTGCCTACCAATCCATGTTCAGCAGCAGAATGCTAATGCTGGAAGGACTGGAGCTACAACCTGCTAGAAAAACACCATGGGCTCCTTTCTCCAAGATATGTATGCATTGCCGATCAAAGGCAGAGAATAGTTAGAAAGCCAAGAGACTTAACTCAGCACTTGGCACCAATAAACAAACTGCAGAATTAATTTATTCGGCCTGCTGCATATTTTATACCTTGAGAAGCAGAACTGGCTAGCTCTCTTAAACCTGTTTAATAATAAAAAATCGATCTGATGAAAGCACTTTCAATCTTCTTCTGCTTCAGAAATGTGCTTTCAAAGCTAAGGTCCCCTTGTGCGATTACCCAAGGGAACAGGACCTTCATCCCAAATGGAAAATCATGTATGCACTCCCCTACACCAAAATTTAGCCTCCTTTTCAATTGGCCAGACCTGGGAAATCCCCGTGTTTCCCGAACTAGAGCCACAACCATCATTTTACCTTCTGACTGGAAGCAAATCTCCCAAGATAAACTAATATTCTCCTTATAAAATTATTGCCCGAGTTTTATTTCCACCAAAACTCACCATTATTCACCATAGCCTCCATCTTCTTAGGGTACCATTCTATGTATGCTTAAGCAGAAAAAAGTCCCACAACTCCCAGAATTCACCAGATATTTCTTTGTTGTTTTTTAAAAACATTTCTATGCCGCCCCCATTGCAACAAAGCCTCGGGGCGGCTCACAAGGATAGGATTGTGACTTTTTAGGTGCATATTTTTTCCTCTAGGATTCATACATTCCATTTCGAGAAACGAGCCCAAATGCCTGAAACTGAGCTCTGCATTAAAGTACCAATAATAAAGCATCACCAACTTGAAACAAACATCCCTGAGGTCATATCCAAAGGACTTACTCAGAAGGATCAAGCTTTCTGGAGTTTAGCAGAAGAACTGGAAATCAGCTCAAATACTCAAAGTATTCTTTCCACTCAGACCCAGGAGCACAAATCAGCCTTCTCCAAAGTGCTACCCTTCAGATGCGTTTCACTGCAAGCCTCTTAATTCCCAGCCATGAAAACAGCGTTGAATAGCTCTGGAAGGCACCAGGTTGGGGAAGCCTGGTCTAAGCCTTTATGTCAATGCCTTACTCACTCAGCAATTCAGAAGATACTTCTAAAATGCAAACCAAAACCCAGACTTGTGAGCAGTGCCATCCCATGAATGTTTGCTCAGAATAGAGCCCCATCAAGTTCGATGAGACTTACTCCTTGAAACGTAAGTATGGGATTACTGCCTAACTGCACTACAAGATCATCTTCGGCAACTCTGAGCTATATCCTCAGCCTATAACAGAACTCCCAAGAATGAAATGGCACCCAAGGAACTTTGTCAATATGGTTGCAGCAGAAGAACAAGGGCTCAGTTACAAGATACACTTCCATGTCTATTTCATTTCTCTTCCCATGTGTATTCCTATCTTGACACTAATTTGCTTCTACCTGGTAGCAAATCTCAATGGTTTTTCTTGCTGTCTCAGAATTCTTACAACACAGGATGAGATCCCAGTCTAAATATGTATACTATTTATCAATTAGTTAAATATATCTTGGCTTTCCACAAAGTGGTACTCAATAATACCAACTTTCACTTCCATTTCCTCAGCAGCAACTTTTGACACAAACACTTAAAAACTTCATGATCCCTTGCTCTACCCATGCCAAGCATCAAGGAGGGTTTCAGGTCCTCCAGAGACACAGAAAGATCCATTTTATAAGCATGCCTCACCTTGTGTGTGAGTCTGCATGTCTCGGGCTAGCTCCATGGGCAGAACAGAATTCACCAGAGCAGAGATAATAGCAGCATCCAAGTTGCACATTGCTCCAAAACACTTCAGAAGCAGCAGCCGTAATGGGACTCTGTGCTCCTGACAAGGAAGAAGTATTTTAAGTAAAGACAACACATGAAGCTGCAAATATTATCTGCTCTTTTTGTTACAGGCAGCATTATTCAAAAAACCAAATATTTAGTTAAAGGACATTTCAAGTGAGTGAACCCACACAGGAATCAGCCTTTCAGAATATCAACAGTGGTAGAGATACTAAGATTTTACCATTGTTTCTTCTTGTCCTACTCTTTATGAATAGAATGAAATATTTTCCCATCTCTTTCTGATATAATGTTCAATATCTGGAAACTGTCAAAATATCTTTGCAGCCAAGCTGTCAGCTGAAGATACTAAGAAGCACACCATTTCCCTCTGTGATTACTTATGATCTGCACGCTAGAGGTGTTCAAAGTATTCTGATTCCTTGATGTAAAGCGAAGTACTTCTGAGGACATCTTAGAACAGTTGGTTTGGGTCCTTCCTAAATGCGTGCGTGTATTTCTAACATTCCACTTAATACAACCTGAATTGACCCTGGCCTTTTGTGTTATCATTACTGCACCTTAGTTTTGTTTAAATGTGTATGCAGTCCAATAGGCAACTGCCCTAGGGGTAGTCTATAACTGGAAGACTATAAAAACACAAACACAACTATAAAAATGTATTAATAATATATGTTTAAAGGGCCAGAAAAGAATAATCAGGGCAACAGATTAAAGCTTAAAAGCCTACTAGAAAAGGAAGGACTTAATCTGGTATCTAAATGCATACAGTGAAGGTGTCAGGCAGAGCTCCCTGGGAAGGGCATTCCATAGATGGGGGTCCACTACATCTAAAGCTCTTTTGGTGGAAACCACCTGTTGCACCATTGTTGGTGCTGCACCCCTAGAAAAGATCCCAAAGATACTATTACATATCAGGCAAGAACAGATGCAAGAAGGTACTTCTTTAGGCTAATCTGAGCTACTTACTCAAGATAGCAGAATGTTGTTGTGTGAACTTGGGGCTACCTGTTATCTACAAATGTGGCTCTTCCTTCTTATGCATAACACTTGCAATTTGACCTTGACAGATTTTATTTTGTTGCCATCAGCTTAGTGCTGCCCTGAAAAATGTCTGCTGTTCCTTTCAGTCTTTATCATTTGTGAAACTGTACGCATTCCTTTAAGGAAAACGGCATCGAGACCAAAGCTGATTACACCAATGCAGCTGATTTGGGTTTTCTGGAAAAATTTGGAATTGACATTTTTCCACCCAAATTTGTTAATTTGCATGTGTCTTTGACCAGGAAGGATGTGTTTTGGACTAAAAGTCCCATCATCCCCTACTACTGGTATGCTGGTTAGATTCACAGGCCAAAACGTACAGAGGGTCTCAAATTGCTCACTCCTATCCTAGACAGCATGTTTATTTTACTTTTATTTAGTAAATGACAGCTTTTATAAAGTGTGCCATATTCTTGTCCCAATACATAAGTTTTTGATATGAAAGACTTGGGATGAAAACTTAATGTACATGTAATGTGATTTAGCCATTATATTATATAGACATTTTGGTGGAACACTTGTAAAAGTATAAAGGCAAAAGCATGTACCTTACTTTTACTGTTTATATTTAAGAAAAAACATACCTAATATTGTTTATATACTAATTTTAGCATTCCAAAAACTGTATATGTCAGACTCATGTATATCAACACAATTCAACTTTCTTCCACTACAATTTTGGGGCACTATTTCACTTTGAGATGTATATGTATTTCAATGCTATATAAAAATTCTCTCACATACTTGCTAGGGGTAATCAACTGAGAAACATTAATTACAACTCTGAAACTGCCAAGCTTGTCTAATGCTGTTTTTCCGATTGGCATACAGTTATTTTTACTAATGAACTTATGAAAAGGAGCCATTTTCTGTAGAAAAATTAAGTACAGGAAATTTTTCCATGGAACGTTTTCCACCATACATCACTGCAACATACTGCTGGATACTTCTTTACTACATTATGACGTTCCATTTATCACCATCTCCCAGAGAGTTCTCCAGGGCGATGGTGCAGGGTGGGTACCAGATGTCAGAGTGCAGCTACTGTATTGACCCAAATGGGGTTTTCCTCCCTTTGCTTTCCCTTGACAGCTGTTAAAAGGCAAGCTGTCAAGGGAAAGCAAAGATGCAAGTGATCTCTGAGACTGAAAAGGTTTATACCCTCTTTTAAGCAAGATCCTTGTGGTTTGTGAGTCTTTCTTTCTTTCTTTTTTATTTGTACCTTTATAGCCATTTCCTTCAAAGCTTGCCTCCTGACAGTTGTTAAGAAACAGCAAAGAAAGGAAAAAGCATGTTTGGGTTAATGTCCATGGTTGGCATCTGCTGTGCTCTGACAGCAGGTGCCTCCCCTGTTGTTGGCCCCACCGAAGGTTGCAATTTTAAATTGCACACGCATACCTGACTTTAAAAAAGAAAAAAAATTGCACATGTTGCATGCACAAAAATAATTTAAAGCCTGCCAAAGAATGACAGGCCCTCCAAGGTGCTGCTCAGACACTCTGAAGGGACTGTCAGTGGCTGTCAAAATGGAGATTGCAAAAGCCAGCTGTCAAGCCAAATTTCCCAAAGTCCTGGAAAAAACGCGCAAAGGGAAAATAGCTGCAGCAAGCTGAAAATGGCATGTTACTGTGGCAGGGAAGGGGAGACAAGTTAATCTTGCGGCAGTGTTTCCCCAACCATGAATTTTGTGTTTATTTCAATGAAAAAAAAAACTATTTGCAAATTATCTTGTTTTTAAAATAGTCCTTATAGGTGGGCAGAACAGGATGGAGCAAAGGGGGACCAGCAGGACTTACACTGGCTGCCAAAGTGAACATTGACTGGTTACCAGTCAGCTGCCTCCTCAGATTTTTTTTAGAAGAACTGTCAGGGACCTGCAATAACCAAAGCAGTATGCCTGTGGAAAAGGTGAGGGGAAGTGTTAATAGCACCCCTTTCTGGAGCAGCTGGAAACTCAGAGAAGTGTCAAAAATGTGGAAGACACCGGGAGTTGCCAGACTAAGACTTGAAACCCATAGGGTGATATTGCCTTTACTTTGACTTTGTTTTTTTGGGGATCTTTTCAGATGACCATCCCAAACAACATCACATTTGGGGAAGGCACTATGTTCTGACAGCTGTAAGCAGGTTGTCATTCACACTGCCAGATTGTTGCATTACAAGCTCAGTTTTCTTCATAAAGAAATGCTTAAATCAAAGGATGCAATCATGGCAGCTCTGATACCAGACATGAGCAGAGACTAAAGAGAGTAGCTTATCTAGGCCAGACTGCTATAGCAGTAGCATGCTCTCTGAAAGGGACAGAACAGAGAAGGATTTCTGTAGGCACCAAAGGCAAACTCGCACATGTTCCTCTGCATACTTGATTTCCTTCCTTTGTCCCAGGGAAGCCTCTTCATAACCTAATTTCCAACTCAGTGCTGTTTACCAATGCACAGATGTGCCTCAATTAAGAGCAGCACAGGAACAGCCCGCCTGTGTTCCCAAGGCATTCTCCAAAATCCTTCCTCTCGATGACAGCAAAGCTGCCTTTCTGTTTCTCAGTGAAGGTTTTTTTTTAAACAGGGCAGCCGGCTGTATTTTTCAAACTTGTAGCAGAGACTCAGTTATTCCTTATTTCAGCCATCTAGGAAAATGGCTGTGACCCACATAGACATCTTGTTTTCATCTACACATTGCCTCAGGTAGTCAGTCCAAAACAACCTTCGGAAGTCAGTGGTGTATCGCGTTGGAGTCAGTGGATTAATTTATACCCTATGCTCCCTGGCTTTCTGACACTGAGCTCAGGTTCCTCATTTTCCCCTTCTCATAACATTCAGCCACTTGATCCTATTGTGGAATAGTTCCACCTTCACAGCCCCCAGAAGATTTCACTGGCTAGACAAACCAACTGGAAATATTCCTAACAATACGGAATGCTGCAAGGAGAAAAGGGAGTGGATGGCCACTCTGTCGCAGAGTGCTCAAACATACTTCACTCCATTCCAAAATCTATACATTCCCCATGATTAGATTTCATCTGTGAACAAGGATTATGCTAAAGTGATTTAGTGCCCCAACACTTTCTGCTCTTGTACAAGAAATATTGAATGCAGTCTCATACCATTTGGTAATACGTAACAAGGGACAAAACTGATTCAAAGTCGTTCTTCCTGCACATCTTCTTGCAAACTTCAGGATCTGCATCTGTCTGGAAAAATAGATGGAAAAATTAACTTTTTGCTAGGCCAAGAATAGATAGTTTCTGATAATAAGCAAGGAAGGCCCATGGTAGGCATGTCATGAGTGGAGCCGGCTGGAGCTGGGGGTCAGACTAGATGGCCCAGGAGATCCCTTCTGACTCACTCTGCTTCTATGTTTCTAAGGTGAACATATAGACTTGTCCTAAACCCTGCTCTTTCCAAACTGGTTTCCAAAATAGAAACCAAGAGCACTGCTAATACACTGGTATCAAAGGAAGCTGTTGGCCAGGAGAAGAAATGGACGGCTCAAACCATCACTTCTGAAATGACATGCATAGGCCCTTGAAAGGTCAAGCTACAGAATTAAGCTGGATAACATGCATAACATGTTTCAGACTGCTACATATTCAGCCTTGTAAGAACACACCTACGGCTTTAGAACAGCCACCAGGCCTGTATTTAAGATACTGGATCAAAAATTAACTTGGGTCCTATGAAAAAAAACCCAGTATTAGCCACTTGGAGTAAATTGAAAAGATATTTAATACATTTAACAATGTTACCCCAGTTTGGGAAAGAGCCTATGGCCCCTGGACATTGTTGGGGCATTTGTGGGAGGTTTCATATGATAGTCTGGATTCCAAGCACCCCAATTTCAGAGCTGAAAACTGGAGCTCTGCCTCTTAGTCAGAACAAGAGAACCACCAGGGCTGCTCCACAGGGCTGGAAATGTAATCCTGGAAAGTGGTCAAAGGAGGGAAGGAGAATGGAGCTGCCAGGAGAGGAGGCATCCTGATGGCCCTCCGGCCTCCTCCTCTCTCCCTCTGAAGTGCCCTTTCTAGATCTAGCAAAAATGCAGGCGGGGGGACTGGGGAGGTGACGATCACCTCCACCAGGCCACCATTAGATGTTCATAAGCCACGGAGTTCAGTGGCTTGTGGGCATGCCCACTGGATTGAGTACTGATTTTTCTTACATTCACCTGAGACAGGTTAGACTGAAAGATAATATTTTGTTTATTGTGTGATCCAGAACCATTATGGCACTTAGGAATAAATACTGCCTTCATTATTTTGTGCCATTTGTTTGAAAGTAGTTATTCAACAGAGGCTTAAACCACAAGAAAAGAGTCACTTCTTTACTTGCACACACATGACAATTCTCTCTTGTCAAGCAGAGCTTTCTATACTATCAGTCAACTAAACAGTTTAGCTGGTTCAGTATGCACAGTGCATTTAATCATGAGGTTCTTCTTGGGTACGTGCTTACAGGGAGGAAAAATTGCAAAGTAATCATATACCTTACCTCTCATTTTGTGGTATAACTCTTTATTTTAGAGTGTGGTACTATTTGTGGCCATATGGTAAATGTCAGATGTTTGACAGGCACAATTATCAGGCTAGTTACTGCTAGCAAAAGTCTTGTGGGTCTCCATCTTGGCTGTGAATCATTGAACATTTCTGACAAAACTGCTTGACTTAATTAATATGTATTTCAGCTAATGCAAAGCTATGGATGCTTACCTAGGAGTAAGCTCCTCCAAACATAGTAGAGCTTATTGCTGAGTAAGCTTCTGTTAGGGTACCACTATGCTTTCAAGCCAAAATGACTGAAAGCCTTTTGAAGCGGGCCCTTCCTGTTTCCTTTTTAGCTCTGAATATTGGAGGAAATTGAGTGGCACCATACTGCCGCCTCAGGAGCTTGGGTGCAAGGCATCACCCAACAGCGGAAGCGGCTGGAAACCTCGTCACCAGCTGCTTTGGCGAGGACCTGATCCTTCCTGGAAGTGCAACTGTTGTGTGATCCTCTCAGCTCCAGCCAGGCCCATGGAGAAAACAGCTTGATTTTGTACGCTGGCCTCGGCCTCGTTTCCATGCCTTGTGTGATCAGGCACATCCCGTCCCATCCCTTCCCTGCTCCACACTAGAAGCAAATAGGGACCTGCTATACTGTAGGCTCTTTGGCCCCTCCGTGTGCTGCAAAGCAGCCGAATGCAGGTTGTGAGCCTCGGTTTGGCCACCCGTTATAGTTATTACTGTTGGTACATTTATGTAATTATAAAAGTCTCAACATTAATTCTATTATTTCTGAGATACCCAAATACAGCTACAAGCTACCGCCCCTTAATGTATTTAAGAATAACCTTCATTTTTACCAGTCGGGAAAATAGGAATAAATCTTCAAAATACCTGGGTTTGGAATAAGGGGCCTGAATTGCTTATTATTCTTATTAACTACACTTTCATAGCTCCTCAAGAGCAGGCATTCTCTAAAGCACTGCATAACTACTTCTGCATGTTCAGAACAAATGTGGGCTTTTCTCTCTTGAACAGGATTTCATTTTGCCTTATGGAAAATCTTTTTGCAGTTTGTAATGTGACACTGGACAAGGTAGAGCATCCACCATTCAAATGCTGAAAATCCCACAGAGCAGGCTAAAGCTCTTGGCATGGCTAACATAGTTCTCTTAATCCTGGTGAGTACATAAACCTCAATGTTATCATGTGGAAATGAAAAGGACTATCATTTTTAAAATTCAAACAAATCTCAGACAAATCTATAGTGTAATTAAGGAGTAGCACTCAGTTTGGATTTTCCATCAAACTCAAGACTCTCAGACAGGACCAAAAACCCGAGGAGTTTTGCATTCTACAACATCCAACATCATATCTTAAACTGTGTCACTTGCTTAATAATCCTAACGAATGTATTATCAGTGCTTATCATTACTACCTGTGAATTTTGAATCAAAGGTTTGCAGCAGCATGTGCCAGCTGTTTAAGCAGTGTTTTAAAACAGTACTAATAATTCTAGAAGTAAATAGTAGCTCATCAGGCAGTGTCTCCTCCCAGCCTGCAAATTTCCACTGGAATTTCCATGAGAAGGTTTGTGGTGGGGAAAGGAAAAAACCTGTTGCATCCTGGTGCCACGTATCTGGGGTATAGTTGTTTTGGATGGTTTTCCTTCAGTTTACTAAGAGGCACATCTTTTGAAAGTGCCAATCTGTTAATAAGCCTGAAAAGTCTTTACTTAGAAATGCTTCTAAAGTTTACTCTCGAACAAGCAATGCTGGGCAATTTCATAATTCAACTCATAGTCGCATCAACGTATTAACAAAGCAGGGTTCTCAAGAGGAAATAGTTCATGACTGGGTTATTACACAACATGAAATGAATCTATATCATTCAATTTCCACCCCTCAATTCAAGTCACACATTAAGGTATCAGTCTTATATTTTCTATTCCTGCTACAAAACATGCTAAGCAAGTAGCCTGCACAAAAACACTGGATCGGCCAAAAACAGAGCAAAAAGTTACCAGAATACGAAGCAGTTCCTCCAAATAACAACAAATGACATTTTCATCCTCATAGAGCGCCCAACTACGTTGCTGGGCATCATCTTTATGCCGGGCCAGATCTGTAAATATCACCTGCAGCCTCTGTTCATCGTGACAGATCTGTCCAGAAGGCAGTCCTGAGCACAAATCCTGCAAGAACAAAATGTCTCCCTTTAGCAGTGAGCATTAACCACAACAGCTCTAGTTTTTAACTATAATTCACCTTAAATAGTCGATCGCGTCAACACCACCTAACTTGCAATGTTGTACAAGAGTTTACAGTGTACGAATACAGCCCATAAATGTTTCTTGAGGAAGATGTAGATTTCTCATTATATGGGGTCTCCAAAATCTTGACCTCACTGCTGAAAGGAGGTCAGGCTTACAGACTAGCAACCTCAGTGGACAACCAAGCTACTCAGAAGTTCCATTTAGGTCAAAAAAGCCCCCCCCCCCCCCCCCCCCCGCCCCATCAATCCACCCAAGCAAGACTACCCAAGTGAGCACACAGTTGTGGACAGAAGGTAGACTTCGAGGCAATCCAGACCCCAGACAACTCAGGACTTTGCCACTCATTATCTGATGCAGATGGTGACCACCCATCTCAGCTTGCTTGCAACTATGGGGTCTTACTGGACCTTCTCAAAGAGAACTACTGAGTTAGGTAGACCTGACCTGTCACAGTATGGAACTTTGCATTCAGATCTTCTCAGAAGGTAGGTAAAAGGGGCCTTTAAAATGTTTGAATGTGGGAACAGAATGTTTGTCTGAAGTGGATCTATGAGAACCTCAACAATCAACTAAGTATGCTCCAGATATTGTTTGTAGCCATTCATGTCATTGCTGAAAACAGGAGAGAATACCTTGTGAGCCTATGCCTCACAGCATCTGTCCTTGTATTCAGAGTTCCCCCCTGCAGTTTCATGTGAATGTTATTGCATGGGAAAGCTGCTACCCTCTCTGCCATTTTGCAGGGACAAGATTTTGCATTGTTTCATTCCTTCTTATATTCTGCCTTTCAAAAAAAACTGCAAAAAGCATTTCATTGGTGAGAGAGAATATTTGCCGAAATGGCAGTGTGCAAGCCACAGTGTGCGATACCAATACCCACACTGCCATATTTCTCTTTTTCCCCATTTCCGACCAAAATCTCCTTTCAGACAGAGAAAGTGGATGGGTGGGGATTCAGGTATATATATTTTTGGAGCATTCTATTAATGGATAAAGGGTTTAATTCAGACTCAGACATGCTTAATGTAGTACCATCAAATCCATGGGATCTAAATTAGTCATAACTAACCCATCCCATTGATTTCAACTCTAAGTATGACTAAGTCTAGATGTAACCTAATGTTAAGTGATCAAAACAGCATTCTGATCATTGAATGGCTCTGGTCAAACTATGTTCCAAGCTGGACTCACAAAGGAATACTTTTCCACATTGGGGACAGTCAGCCATAAGTTCATTAGAGGCTAAAAGGGGTTAGTGTTGGTTATGACAGTGCCATCAAATCATTTGTTTGTTCATTTATTATAAACTATAATTTATTATTATCTATTCTACTTTTTTAGAACTCAAAGAGGCTTGCGTCATTCTCCTTCTCCTGCTCTCAAACCCTGTGAAGTAGGTTGGGCTGAGAGTGTGTGACTGGCCCAAAGTCACTCAGTTGGCTCCATGGCTAGGTGGGGAACTAGACCCCAGACTGCCCAACTCCCAGACCTGCGCTCTTCACCACCACACCACATTGGCTCTTGTAAGCATCAATTAGTACTCTGGAAAATGAAAGGCCTGCTCTACTACTCCGGTGCCCTGGGAAACTGAAGGCAAACAGCTTCAGTAATTGGCTAGTTTAGTCAAAAAAGCATATTCTTTAAAGATGTGCACATTCCAGGGCAATGAAGTATCAGTGAAATACACTTCATTGCACATAAGCACACCTGTAAGGAAAGATGCATACTGGAAATGCACAGTGATGTCATTAACCTGATTAAACAAATGAATTTATATTTGCAGAGAGGGTATTGGAGTCATTGAGATTCTCTTCTCATTTAAGATGTGCAGGAATCCATTTCTTCTTATTTGGGCAACTTTTGTTTTCGCACAAGACAAGAAACACTCGAGTGACTGGTCTGTACTTCCAAAATAAGATTATTCTAAGAACCCAATTAAAAAAAAAGATGGAAGCACCTTGTATCCTTGTCAAGTTATTAAGTCATATAGCCTGCCATACAGCACTTGGTTGCAGGAATGATAATATGCCTACAGAAGATAGCAGACCACTTATATGATCAGATTGTGCAAGATCTGATTGATTTGCCTTAAGCTTGTTGGTGCTAGTTCTTTTGCATTTGGAGGGCAACATTATATGCCAGAAACATCCAACCATGACTATTCTATTGATGAGAATGTGATTATTTTGGGAAGTTTCTCTCTTAACGCCTCCACTGCTAACAGATGGAATGCTGATTCTGGTAGCAAACTTGGCAGCATTCCTCCAAAAGCTGTTCTGCTCCTGTCCCCTCTAACTCCTCGCTGGCTGTTCCACAGAGACAATGGCATCCTTTGAGTTTCCTTAAGGTAGGTGTACTTCTCTTGGTCCTACCACCATCTGAAACCCATATGGTGAGGACCTGAGACAGGGCCTTCTCTGTAGCAGCCCCCACATTCCAGAATCCCCTGCTGAAGAAGGCCAGGTTAGCTCCCTCTTTGCTGTCCTTTCACCTGCAGGCAAATATGCTTTTCTTCAGGCAGGATTTCGTCATGTAAACTGCTCTGCTGAAGGAGATGTGACTGGCTGGGTGTTAGTTATGTCTATTCTTGCTGTGGACTGAATTGCGTTTTTCATTTATCTGCTTTTATGTTTAGTTTAATTATGACAAAACAATTATGATTAATTGTGATTAAACAATCTGTATTAGTGTTAGCCATCTCAAGTACCATTTTTGGCAGAAAGGCAGGATACAAATTAAATAAACCACCACCCACAGAGATAGATTAGATATAGATGCAGACAGATACAGATGTGGATACTGTACACTACTTTCTGCTGATGATAAACCCTCCATTAGGTAAGAGAAGGGACCATCTTCTCAACAGCACACCCAGGAGACTCTGGTCCAGATTAACAGTGCTGAGTGAGACAGACACTTAATTCAATTTATCGAGCTGCTCTCTAGGGCAGTCCCTTTGAAAACTTTGGGTTTCATTCAGGAGCAAGCGCAGCTGAGTATGTAGTAATTACAGCATAGTCCCTGCCCCTTCTGGAGTTATAATCCTTCTGCAAAGCAGGCCCCCATCATACAGTGACGGCAGCAAGTGTGTTGCTTAAAGAAGTTCACCAATGTCAGAAAGAAATAAGTGCTTCCAGTATTCTGCTTCCCCAACTTTACCCATCAAGGTTTTCCTGCCATCTGTAAGTTTATCAACCAACCATTGCTGACAGGTGGACTGGACAGCAAGTTTTCTTCATGGACTGCAACCCCCAAACAAGGACTTAAGCCACATCTGCATCGTTATTGATGGCAGCCCCGTAAAAGCAGCATCTTCATGAGGCAGTTCTGAGTTTGGCCTGCTCACTGCTGTGCATTTTTAAAAATTCCAGTAGAATTGTAAAATGCTAGGAGAATTGGGCACAGGCTCCCATGAGAGAAGCAAACAGTTACCGCACAAATTTAATGTCTGAATGGAAAACTCAAGCTTGGGTCACCTTACTCTACCTAAAGCATTTACTGTGCTCCTGTAATTCCTCGCTCATGTAAGTTTCGGAGGCTTTTTCACAACAATTGCCATCCTCCAGAGATTCTTCCCAGCCTTTTTAGCAAGGTTTTTTTAGAGTGAGGAAAATCTGGTATTCAAATTTAAATCCCAACAACCAGAACAAAAGCCTTGTGAAAAGTTGCCAATCCAAGATACCAGACAGTCAACCTGAACTTGGTCAGAAGAATACATAGAAAGGCAGAGAAATACAAAATGGTGGGGTGGGGGGCATAAAGGACACTTTTTCCCTCTCCCAACGGAAATGGAAGAAACCTCAGTAAAGCAGTGGATTAAGCTCCTCATGCAAAGAAGCCCTTAAAGCTCTCCTTCTAAACAGACTGTAGTTAGGGCAACTTTCACACTAATGTGTAAAGCTGAAGCTAGCTGTTTGCAGCAAGGGAACTTCCAATTTCACAGAAGAGCAAAAAAACCACAAGACTAATCAAATAAGGTTCAAGGTCCAGTCCTATCACTCATGATGCCTGGGGTTTCTGAGCATCAGAAAAGCTCAAATATCACGAAAACAAAATATCTCCGGGGCCAGCATGGAACAAGAATTAATGCTACTCTGCTTGCTAGATATTCTATTCCAAATGGGCTCAAACAAGCAGAGCAGGCAAAAGGACTAACCTGACATAGCAGGAGGAAGGAGTATCTTGTGGCCTATTGCTGCATTCAGCAAAAAACGCCCTGTATGTACCCTCCACATCTGATATTATGAGAGCCAGTGTGGTGTACTGGTTAAAAGCATGGGACTGGGACTCAGACGATCTGGGTTCTAGTCCCCACTCAGCCATGGAGCCAACTGGGTGACTTCGGGCCAGTCACAGACTCTCAGCCCAACCTACCTCACAGGGTTGTTGTTGTGGGGATAAGATGGAGGAGAAGAAGGATGTAAGCTGCCTTGAGCCCTTTGTAGGAAAAAGGCAAGATATAAATCGGATAGTGTTCAGATGAGCACTTACAAGTATTTACTGATTTTCCAGAGCCTGGTAAACTATCTGAACTTTACCAAAGAGTTCTAAAGCTCTGCCTAAACTTTCCAAGACACCTTTAAAAGGGTGTCTACCTGACATGCATGCAGGGAACACAGCTCTGTGTCCACTGCATGGGCAGTTTACATAATTTTCTAAATATGAAAAGACCTTCAAGCTGCCTGCCACGATGAGCAACCATGCTCCCCTAAGTGGCCCAAATGGGCAATATGTTTAAAAAAGATTTAGAGAGGAAAATGGAAGTCCAAAGCCTGTGGGAATGCTAGCTTAGACTTGGCATCCTATGGAATGTTTGCCCAGCTGAAGTCAGGCTGCTTCTACATTACCATGCTTCCTTCTCAGGCAGCATTTCCTAAGAAATAATTACATTCTAGCCACTCTTTCATTCATGTTCCTCT